CTAGACCGGAATCAAAGATTCAAGAACCATGACTGTAATCATCTTTGTAAGGGCCGATTTAGGTTCCACTTTTCACAAGAATTGGAATAATCAATTTTAAATCAAAACTCGCAATTTTGGAACCATAGCCACGTCTATCTCGCCATTTCAAAGCTTAGAGTTGTGGTTTGTAAACGCACTAAAAACCCATGCCTTGCATGGAAGGTGCAACTAGTACTAATGATTAATTTCTGCTTCGAACGATAAATTTACTCACATGGTCACTTAATTTTAGATGCTTGACATTTTGCACTTTACAAATTAAGCTTTACCATACTTTAGATGTGGACTTGGAATCTGAGATAACACATAAATCAGCCAACGAAACATTCAAACTTAGGTTTGAGCTCCAATTAGCCTGGCAAAAGGTTGGATCACAAATTTCTTTGATCCTAAAACGAATAAAAAAAAGGGAATCTGGATACCGATTTAGACACGAGTTTCCAAGGATCTCCAACTTTCTCAGTGAAGGAATATGGAGATACCAATGTCATCATCATTGAGAAAATTAATGCCATTTATTCTCATATCCTTTAGTGATGAATAGGCTGTTGGATTGTGATAGACTCTAATACTAAATTAATGGATTAAATTCAATGATAATATAGACAAACAAACAATTTTGTTACACTCAAAGTGTATAGAATAATAACACTCCTAAAATAAACGTACACCAGAAACTACTAAATTGAGATTCAGTTTTAAGAATATCGACTCTAATTTTGTCAAAACCTCACACTTGAAATATCTACTTAAACACTCATGAATTGCACTTTAAGTACTAGAACACTCAAAGAGTTTCAACTTTGATTGAGCTCTTCTTATTTTCATCAGATGATAGGATGCCAAGAATGACAAATGAACCCCTTATTTATGCTAGTAACGATTCAACATGCAGCTGCATTTTTGCTCTTCCCATTTAATGCCCAATGGCTAGAAAATCCAGTGAATTTCACAAACAAATCTAGCTCAAGAAACAAGCATGATCCAAGCGCTTACAATTCCCACGCTCTGCAATAAAATTGGACTTTGGTTTGGCGGGATTTTTATATCAATACAAGTTTAAATCCGATTTTTATACCCGTTGGCTGCAAGTATACAGGCCGAAACTGTAATGTAGGGTATATATCGGGTCGATCCCACGAGGAACAAATTAAACAAGTACTAGACCCTTATTTTTCTCTATTATTTAGACTTACAATAAATTTGAGCAGAGAAAGTTTATTGCTATAATCTACAAATCTGATCTGCAAATCTAGTTTAACAAATGCTAAATGCAAATGAAGAATTCTTACTCAAGAAAGACTCTAGGGATGTAGATTCCACTTATGGCATAAACACACAAATGAATGGATTTACCTCTTGTTATTATTCTTGTTTAACCAGAGATTCATTTTCAAAATTACCAAGTCTCATTCTCATGGTGAAATGGCCTAGAGTAGTTTAGTTTTCCCTATTTTCATGGTGAAATACTAATACTACTCTGTTTTCTTTCACGAAATGCTAAGTAATCTACTTAAGTGTATCTCTATTTTCATGAACATACAACTTAAGCTCTACTCATGTGTTTCCATTGTTACTACCAATTCTCATTGAACAATAACAACTATAAACATGCTATTGGTGACCAATCAATAACAAGTAATCACAACTACACAAGTAGACAAGTTAATACAACATATCACAAGTGTAAATCACATTCAATTCATATTATTTAGCCATAAGTTTCATCTACTCCCTAGATAAAGAAGTTTAGCTACTCATGAATGATTTAATAATCAAACTTAAAAGTTTATTAATGCAAAACATCATGAAGTACAAGTATAAGAAAGATAAAAGAAAGCTTAGCCAGTTGATAGTAAAGCCCTCCAATTTCTGCTATGTTCTTGTACAAGATGATTACAAGTGAAAACTCCAAATGCTTCTCCAAGAACTCTTAGCTAGAGAGAAACTAGTTACAAGAGGGAAAACTAGCTACGTAGGTGCCCCCTGGCTTCTTCCCTGTGTTTCTGCATAAAAAGTGGTAGAAAATCTACTCCTCTCACTTCATAATTTTCTTCTCTCAGATTTTGTAAAAAAAAGTCAAGGATATGATGTTTTCTTTTGTCTACAACTCATTTGGTCTTCTCTTTTGTTGCAGAAGCATGTGCCACCGATTTCTGTCCCTCAAAATAGTTGAAAAAGTTGTGAGAAAGGTAAAGGAAAATGGCTGTGCCACTTGCTGAAAGAGAGAGACAGATCCGAGCCTCGGATCCGAGGGTTGAATATAGATCCGAGGCCTTTCTCTGATGGATCCGAGCTCGGATCGTTTGTACTCGGATACACTGCTCCAGAAGTACAGATGAGGGCTCGGATCTCTCCTTATTTTCACGGATCCGAGCTCGGATCCGTGCTGGTATTTTCCAGTTTTTCACTTCTTTTTCTTTTTCTTCATTTTTGCTCCTAATTTCTTATGTACTTTATCCTCTGGACAATCCTTACACTTCTTTCAGCTGGTGCATGAATTTCATACATCGATATCCTTCACAATTTCACAAAATTAACGCATTAATCCACTCATTTATCAAGTTTTGAATACTTAAACAATATTTAAGCAATTATCACTAAAAAGAGTTCAAATATGGCTTTAATCTTCTCAAAACATACCAAAAGTTCATGCCAAACTTGTATAAAATATACGTTAAATATTCACTTATTAAATTCCCCCACACTTGAATCATTGCTTGTCCTCAAGCAATTTGCACAAAACTTACTTCAATTATTCAATAGATAAAACAATATACGTACTTTTGTCAAATTTAATTTCTCAAAAACCTAGAAACCAATCATTATGCCATTTCTCAGATTACACTAAATACTCATAATATCAAGTTAAAGAAAGATAATTATGTCTTAATTTTAACAACTTCAATCAATTTCTCATTCTATCCTAATTTCACAAATAAGTAAATCACATAATCAATTTATGACATTCCTCATCCCATAACCATCAAAATTTTTATAACTAAGAGGGATTTATTCATACTTCATTTTACTTAAATAGTAGAAATGTTTTTTTACGCGAAAATCAACACTTTTAGGTGAAGATTTCCGGTTACTCAACATTTCACTTATTCAAATTGCTAAGCATACTCTTAATTCCAATACCTTTTACGCGAATATCGACATTTGTAAATGCCAACCTCCGGTTATTCAGTATGTGAATCATTGGAGTAGAAAATAATATCAATATATGTATATTTTAACAATAAATTTTTTTCTTTTCCCTATAAGCATAATTAAAGGAAGAATCTGATCTTATCTTGACTATATCAATCACTTACTTATAAAATTAAGTAAAAATGAGAAATATCATTAAACATGCAAAATTCTAAGTATAATTTTCCTTATTTAACCAAATATACTTTTTAAAATATAAAAATCCTAATTGTATAATGACTAATTTCAAGTCAAATAAGGACAAAACTTTCCCAAAATACATATAATATTTTATCCAATGGAAGAATTAGGCACTTAAAATTAAACATTTTGGCCGTTGACTTGAAATATTGGAAAATATTTTAGAAAAATTTTGACAGAGTTTTTCCATAAAAATGGACAAAACTCCCTGTCAACAACCTCAATTTTAAGAAAATTAACCACAATACAACATTTCCAAATAAAATTTCAACATTTTTAAGTCATAGACAACTCAAATCATGCATTTCAAGACACAAACCCCATAAGATAAAGTAATCCCTCCCCCACACTTAAATTTAACAATGTCCTCATTGTGAAAAAGGTAATAGAAACTAAAACTTCCCTCAAAATAAGTGGTGATTCAATTTGAAACCATTAATCCTCACGATCATCCAAATTCTGTCCACAATGAAACAAAAGAGTACGAAAAACTATAACTAGCACAAGAGAATCCAATATGAAAACTACAAAGTTTAAACCGAACACAATAAAAGAAAAATAAAACAACAAAAGATGTAATCAGCTAAAGATCTTCATGGCTGCTCAGAACGAGGGTCTACTGCCTCCTCAGTTCCATGAGCACCTTGTGATATACCAATATGCCCCTCCTCTTGCTGAGGCGTCGAAGTAGGTGACCGGCAGATATGAAAATGATCCTCGATCGCACGAAGACGGCGATCATGTCTATCGAGTCACTCTGTCATCATCCGCTCGGTCTGGTCAATGCGCTCGACGACTCGTGTCTCCATACAGCAAATGTCATTGAGGAGCTCTTGCCACTTGGATCGCGGCGGAGGTGGTGGTCGTGGAACGGGAGGAGGAAGTGTCTGTGCCTCCGTCTCATGAACTACTAGTTCCTGTTGAGTATGAGGTAGAGGCTGAGCTAAGGTTGAAGCTTCTCCAATTTCTCGAACCAGAGTAGTTCCAAAATCTGTAGAGATACTCAAGGATTTGAGTATCGAGGCACTGACCTCGTCGGCGGACCTAGTGTTAATGGCTCGCTCGGTTCCAAGAGGACCCTTGAGCTTCTAAAAAATGAGAGATAGCAGCCGAGAGAATCCAAAGCAAGTCTCGCCGGCCCTCATGCGAGCTGTGGTCCGCATGTAACTGATGATGATGCTAGGCAAAGGAATACCAGTCAACTGTTCACCCACACCATGCATCATCTTATCCAAGAAGTAGAAGTCATTATTGCGGAGCTCCCGCTTTCCACTCCTTTTGGGCACCACATTGAAGGCGAAGAGATAGAAGATCAAGTGGTACCTATGCTCGAAGGAGTCAGCATATACAGTGAGTTTCTTCGAAATTCCTCGCTCCTTATATTGACTCTTTAGGCGTGCCACTGCTTCTCCCACCTGCCAAGGGTCGCGTGCCTTGAACTCCTTGGTCAGTTTAACATCAACTCCTTCATCTTTGAGTTTGACGATTTTTACGACTGTATCCCGATTAAGAGCCATTCTCTTTTCTCGAACCCAGGAGACGATGAGGTTGCCACCGTGACTCTATTTGTTTTCCACATTGGCGTAGAACTCCTGAACCAGATTGGGGTAGTAGTGCTTGGGCAATTGAAAGATGTTCTCCCATCTGAGTCTCTTGAATGCCGTAGAGATGTGGTAGTGCGCATCCACCTCCGGTGTCAGGTTCTTTTCAATAATAGTTTCCTTATCTAAGCCTGCTTCGTACCACTGTTGATTCTCGAGTGATGTGAATCTAGTGGTGTCATAATCTGGAAGCGGCTCGTCGCGACTAGTGGACGCGGTCTTCCAGCGAGACCGAGGTGGTGGCTCAGGCGAAGGAGATTCTTCCTCAGGCGACTCTTCATGTGAGGGAGTGCGCTCCTCACTTGAAGATGGTGTAAAAGTACGAATACGAGCCCTCCTTGTGCGAACCATAGTACCTATATAAAAACAAAATGAACGTTCATTAGAACAATATAAACTTGCTCACATAGAATTTAAGAAAATTTCAACTGAGTTTCCCCTTATAAAAGGGCTAAAGTCCCTGCCAACATGTACCAAAAAGCAACCAAAGATCCTACTTAACTCATTTCAAATTCAAATGCATATTTTCAGGTAGAATCTCATCAAAGAGTTTGATCATTTGAACCTCAACTATTATTTCAAGAATGTACATTCCAATATATTCATAACTTTATCCACGAATCACACCACAATTGGCTATAACCATTCTTAATAAAGTGCATACGAATGAGCTCCAAATTTACCAAAATAATTGCAATTGAACTCAAAGAGAAAAGAGATTTCAAGTAAAAAGGTTGAATGTGCTTAACTTAATCATAAACACACTCTTTTACCCAATGGAATTGGTTCTATTAATCGCATATCATTTTTAATTGGTACAATAGTGACTTATACTCCTCAAAACAAGTTTATATATTCAATGGAAACCAACATTCACAAGCCTAAAGAACCAAATTTGTCAAGCCTAATAAATTAAAAAAAATATACCAAAAATATCACCAAATCCACAACTTTTTCCATACTAAGCATAAAAATAGTAGTAACAACATATTCTAGTACAATGTAGCACATTTATAACAAGAAATTCCAACAAATATGCAATTATCACAATATGCCCAAAAACTAGAAAAATGTAAAATTAGAAATTATGGAATCTTAAAGAAAATTGTAAATTGATACCTCAAATGTATAGGAAGATACTAGAGAATGATAATGATGAAAAATGAGGAAGAAACAAGTCCAAATTCACCCCCAAATTTGAAAAATTGAAGTGCAGCCTGAATTCTTTTGTGATGATTAAACACTTCTTTGAGGTGGTTTTGATGCGAAAGAGATTGGGGTTTTTTATCACCAAAGTGTTTGGGATGTTTTTATGGAGAAAATTTGAATGATTGATGGACGAAATAAGAGATTGGTGGAGAGAGGCTAGGGTTTCGGAGGAAGAGAAAGAGAGGAAAGCTAGAAAATAAGGAACCGAGGCCTCGTTTCCTTTCTTATCGCGAACCGATCCGAGGTCGGATCGGTTCTTAACGCCCTCGGTTCCGACAGGGGCTCGGATCCGCACCGCCAGGAGCACAGACGATCCCTCGGATCTTTCTGGAAATTTTTGGATCCGAGCTCGGATCAAAGGATCCGTGGTCGGATTCGTCTGAGTTTTTCAGATCCGAGCTCGGATCTGTATTTCTCTGTACTAATTGCAGAAACTGCAATTTTTCAAGTTTTTTCTCCCTTTTCCGGCCAATTCCAAAACAGACTTTGGACAAACTTTTTATCAATTTTAACCTCCCACGCACATGTAATATACCAAAAATACAATATCTAACCTCTCAAAACACATCAAACATATCTTCATTGAAAATCGAGGTGTGAGGTTCTTTGCTCATTTTTACACTTTTATACCAAAATAACACCTTTAGGCATTAAATGCACATCAAATGAGTCCATGAGTATTTGTATCATGTTATCACCAAAACTCACTTGAACATACTTGAAATGTGCAATGTATATATGAATGGTAATTCTAAACACTTAAAGCACAATGTGGTAAGAAAACCTCCCTTTTTAACACTTGTTCTTCAATTGTACCTCCACAATGGATGATGAAACTTTTGTACCTCCTACAAACAAGTGAAATACATTTCATTAGTCAATTAAATCACACCAAAATGTAAGAAACACATAAAAACATACAACTACAATATTATTATTGGGTTGCCTCCCAATAAACGCTTTGTTTAAAGTCGTTGAGCTCGACACTCCTATAGCTCTTTTAACTCTCCATTGCGTTTCCTAAGGAGTAAATTACTCCTATAGGAACATTTTCTCCAGCCAAATAGAGTTTCAATCTTTGACCATTTACTTTGAATGGGGCACTATTTTATCCTTTTATTTCCACTGCTCTATAAGAAAACATACGAACCATTTCAAATTGCCCGGACCATCGAGACTTAAGTTTTTCAGGGAATAATTTAAGTCTTGAATTAAACAATAACACCTTTTGCCCTTCTTCAAAATGCTTAGGAAGAATGTGTTTATCATGCCAAAATTTCACTTTTTCTTTGTAAATCTTGACATTCTCATACGAGATTAACCGCGATTCCTCCAACTCGCTTAGTTTAAGCATTCTCTTTTCACCTGCAGATTTAAAATCAAAATTAATAACTTTAATGGCCCAATAAGCTTTATGTTCTATTTCTATAGGTAAATGACACCTTTCCCATAAATAAGCTTATATGGAGACACTCCCAACGGCGTTTTAAATTCCGTTCTATACGCTCACAAAGCATCTTCAAGCTTGTTTGTTCAATCATTTCTCGATCGGTTGACCGTTTTCTCCAAAATGATTTTAATTTTCCGGTTGGCCAATTCCGCTTGACCATTAGCTTGAGGATGATAGGGGAGTGACTTTTTATACCTGCATCCATATTTAAGCAACAAAGTGTTAATAATTTTATTACAAAAATTCTTACCTTCATCGCTTATTATTGCCTTTGGGACTCCAAACCTGCAAAATATGTTCCGTTTAAGAAATTTAAACACAACTTTAACATCATTAGTTTGTGAAGGAATGGCCTTCACCCATTTAGAGACATAATCAACTGCTAAAAGAATGTACTTATTATTATATGAGTTAGGAAATGGTCCCATAAAATCAATGCCCCAAACGTCAAATAACTCAACTTCCAAATATGTAGTCAAAGGCATTTCATTCTTTCTTGAGATATTATTGGTTCTTTGGCATTGATCGCAACTTTTAAGCCAATTTCTAGTGGCTCGGTACATAGTAGGCCAATAAAATCCAGATTACCATATCTTTGCTACAGTTTTAGTTGTACTAAAATGACCTCCCGTTTTAAGGGTATGACAATGCTTTAAAATACTATGTACCTCTTCTTCCGGAACACATCTTCTGATTATTCAATCTGCACAATGTTTGTAAAAGAATGGTTCCTCCCAAAAATAATGTTTAGCATCATTTAAGAATTTTTTCCTTTGATGAGAATTCAAATCACTTGGTATCACTCCACGAACTACAAAGTTAACTAGATCAGCATACCATGGTGACTTATAAATTGTCATTAAAAACTCATCTGAAAATTCTTCTTTAATGGATGAATGGTCTTCTTGAGGCATATTTTCCAGTCTAGAAAGATGATCAGCAACTAAGTTCTCGAATCCTTTTTTATCTTTGATCGCCAAATCAAATTCCTGCAGTAATAAAATCCATCGAATTAGTCGAGGTTTTGCATCTTTCTTTTTTAACAAATATTTGAGTGCTGCATGATCGGTATAAATGATAACTTTGGATCCTACTAAATACGATTTAAACTTATCCAATGCAAAAATCACTGCTAGCAACTCCTTCTCTGTTGTTGCATAGTTAACTTGGGTTTCATTTAACATTTTACTTGCATAATAAATGACATGAAGTCGCTTATCATATTTTTGCCCAAAAACAGCCCCAACTGCAAAATCACTTGCATCACACATTAATTCGAATGGCAAGTTCCAATCCAGTGATGCTATTATAGGTGCGGAGACAAGTTCCTTCTTCAACTTATTAAAAGCAAGTAAACACTCATCATTAAAGTGAAAAGGAACATCTTTTGTAAGTAATTCACATAAAGGTTTAACAGTTTTTGAGAAATCCTTAATAAATCGCCGATAAAATCCCACGTATCCAAGAAAGTTGCGAATGCTTTTCACATTGATTGGTGGAGGCATTCTCTCAATAACCTCTATCTTGGCTTGATCTACCTCAATACCTTCTGAAGAAATTTTGTGATCTAGTATAATACCTTCACAAATCATGAAGTGACATTTTTTTCCATTGAGTACAAGGTTTGTTTCTTCACATTTCTGCAAAATTAGATCTAAATTGTTAAGACAATCATCATAAGTAGATCCAAATACAGAAAAATCATCCATGAAAATTTCCATAATTTTCTCATTAAAATTAGAGAAAATTGCCATCATGCATCGTTGGAAGGTGACCGGTGCATTGCACAGTCCAAAAGGCATCCTTCGAAATGCAAAAGTGCCTTAAGGACAAGTGAATGTGATTTTTTCTTGATCTTCCGGTGCAATGACTATTTGATTGTATCCTGAAAAACCATCCAAGAAATAATAAAATTCATATCCGGCTAATCTCTCTACCATTTGATCAAGAAAAGGTAGAGGGAAGTAATACTTTCTAGTAGCTGCATTCAGTTTTCTATAATCAATGCAGACTCGCCACCCAACCACAACTCTAGATGGAATCATTTCATCATTTTTACCATGTACTATCGTTATCCCCCTTTCTTTGGCACTACATGTATAAGAGAAATCCAAACACTATCAGAAATTGAAAAAATTATACATGCATCCAGCCATTTAAGAATTTCTACTCTTACCACTTCTTTCATATTTGGATTTAACCTTCTTTGAGTCTTAACTACTGGTTTAGAGTTTTCTTCCAACAAAATCCTGTGCATACAAATAGTTGGACTAATTCCTTTGATATCAGAAATTGTCCATCCTATAGCCTTTAAATGTTTTCTCAGAACACGTAAGAGGTTGTTTAGTTGTTCCTCATCTAATGCTGCATTGACAATTACCGACAATGTCTCTTTTTCTCTTAAAAATGCATATTTGAGGTGTTTAGGTAGTGGCTTAAATTTAAGTTGTGGTGCTTGCTCACATGATGGTGAAGGTAGCCCTTTACTCAGTCCTAACTCCTCATATGCATTTCTCCTTTTGTAAGGAACTTGTGCCTGCAAAAATTCAATCATTTTTTCAACTTGTTTCTCTTGTAAGCCTACACCATTAAGACAAAGTTCAAGAGAGTCATCATCAAGATTAACTTGACTCATCTCTAATGCCAATTCATCACATATGTCAACCGAATGAACATGGTCAGTAAAAGAGGGACACTTCTCCACTTTACTCAAATCAAATTCCACTTCCTCTTCATCGATTTGGAACTTGAACTTACCTCGTTTGACATCTATTATTGTACCTGCAGTGGTTAGAAATGGTCTACCAAGTATAATAGGTGCATTTACATCTTCCTCCATGTCTAAAACAACAAAATCAATAGGAATAATGAATTTCTGCACTTTAATGAGCACATTCTCCAGTATGTCCATTGGATGTCTAATAGACTTGTCAGCCAATTGCAAGGAAATGTTAGTACGCTTTAACTCTTTCAACTCCAATTGCCTAACCACAGTTAAAGGGATCAATGAAACACTTGCACCAAGGTCACAAAGTGCTTTAGAAAATTCCACATTGCCAATAGTGCAAGGGACTGTGAAACTCCTTGGATCTTTCAACTTTGGTGGCAATTTATTTTGTAGGATGACATTACATTCTTCCGTTAATGCAATTATCTCACTATCTACTAACTTTCTTTTCTTAGTCATTATCTTCTTGAGAAACTTTGCGTATGAAGGAATCTGCAAAATAGTATCAACAAAAGGTATATTAATATGTAATTGCTTGACAATATTGACAAACTTTTCAAATTCTTTGTCATTTCTTGAAGGTTTCAATCTTTGAGGGAATGGCGCTGGTGGAGGAATTGGTGTTATTTCTTTTATTTGCGGCTCATTTTCCTCCATCCTTTCTTTCCCCTTAATTTTCTTGCCATCCTCTCCTAACTCACTCAACTGCTTGTTCTCTCTTCTTTGACATTCTCTCTCATTTTCAATTACTGGTGGCTCACCTACTTCCTTACCACTACGGAGTGTTATAGCCTTCGCATGCTCCCTTGGGTTCACCTCAGCCTTACTAGGTAAATTTCCTTGGTTGCGATTGTTAACTGTGTTTGCAATTTGCCCTAATTGGACCTCAACATTCCTGTACATATTAGTGAATTGGTCCATCCTTCCCTCAATTCTTTCAAACCATTGACTAGTGGCACTGGCTAACTTTTCAATTTTATCATTTGCTACATTTGCCAGTTTTTCAATTGCCAATTTTCAAGTGGTTTGGACTCCGGAAGTGGTTGTTTTGGTTCAAAACCCGGTGGATTAACTAGTCTTTATTGGTTCCCTTGATTATTCCATCCAAAATTCGGATGATTACGCCATCCTGGATTATAGGTATTGGAGTATGGATTATTTTGGGGTGGACGGTTGTAATTGTTGAGATGTTGAACCTGTTCGCTGCTAGAACACATAGAATCATTATGATCTCCACCGCAAGTAGTACAACATGCAACAATTATTCCTTGATTAGAGTTAGATCCAACGTGCCTATTAAGCATCTTAACCACATTATTCATTTCTGCACTTAACATATTCAAGGTATCTACTTCGAGCATACCTGTGATTCTCCTTGTATTACCTCGTTCGCTTGCCTATTGGTAGTTATTAGCAGCCATTTCTTCAATCAATTGTTGAGTTTCCTCGGTTGTCTTTCCCATCAATGCTCCTCCCGCTGCCGCATCTACATGCGTCTTTGTTGGATAGGTGAGACCATTATAAAATGTTTGGACTACTAGCCAATCTGGTAAACCATGATGAGGACATCTTCGTTGCAATTCCCGATAGCGCTTCCAAACTTCATACAATGTCTCTCCTTCCTGTTGAGAGAAGTTAGTTATATCCATTCTGAGTTTAGCAGTTTTTCCAGGTGGAAAGAACTTATTAAGAAAAGTCTTAGCTAATTCAGCCCAAGTAGTAAAAGTGTTTGGAGGATGAGATTGTAACCAAACCTTGCCCTTGTCCCTTAGTGAAAATGGAAACAATCGAAGTTTAATTGCATCATCACTAACACCATTAAACTTAATTGTATCACAAATTTCAAGAAATGTTGACAAGTGAGAATTTGGATCTTCGGTAGCATTACCTCCATATTGAGATTGTTGTACCATTTGAATCAGTGATGGTTTAATCTCACAGTTATTAGCATTTACCGTTGGCCTTACAATGTTAGTTTGAGAATCTTGTGTTCCCGGTAAAGCAAAATCTCGTAAGATTCGTCTATTTGGTTCATTTTCAGCCATTTCTTCCTCAAATGGTAGCTCTATCAAAATTTCCTCTATCGGTTGCCAAACCTCTTGTTCCTCTTGCTGTGGTGTATCCGTCCATTATCTAGGTAAAGTCTTTTCAATTTCTGGATCGAAAGGTGCTACTTCTCGGAATGTCCGGTGCATACACTGCAAACAAAAACAAGAAAGATTATGCAACTTTATTTATCAAAAACTGATTAAAATGTTAAGCTAGTTATAAATAACTCAACTAAAAATAAAGATGTCTAAATTAATAGAGATGATTAGCCTCTAATATTGCCGCTCCCCGGCAGCGGCGCCAAAAATTTGGCGGGATTTTTATATCAATGCAAGTTTAAATCCAATTTTTATACCCGTTGGCTGCAAGTATACAGGCCGAAACTATAATGTAGGGTGTGTATCGGGTCGATCCCACGAGAAGCAAATTAAACAAGTACCAGACCCTTATTTTTCTCTATTATTTAGACTTACAATAAATTTGAAAAGAGAAAGTTTATTGCTATAATCTACAAATCTGATTTGCAAATCTAGTTTAACAAATGCTAAATGCAAATGAAGAATTCTTACTCAAGAAAGACTCTAGGGATGTATATTCCACTTATGGCATAAACACACAAATGAGTGGATTTACCTCTTGTTATTATTCTTGTTTAACCAGAGATTCATTTCCAAAATTACCAAGTCTCATTCTTATGATGAAATGGCTTAGAGTAGTTTAGTTTTCCCTATTTTCATGGTGAAATACTAATACTACTCTGTTTTCTTTCATGAAATACTAAGTAATCTACTTAAGTGTATCTCTATTTTCATGAACATACAACTTAAGCTCTACTCATGTGTTTTCATTGTTACTATCAATTCTCATTGAACAATAACAGGTATAAACATGTTATTGGTGATCAATCAATAACAAGTAATCATAGTTACACAAGTAGACAAGTTAATACAACATATCACAAGTGTAAATCACATTCAATTCATATTATTTAGCCATAAGTTTCATCTACTCCCTAGATAAAGAAGTTTAGCTACTCATGAATAATTTAATAATCAAACTCACAAGTTTATTAATGCAAAACATCATGAAGTACAAGTACAAGAAAGATAAAAGAAAGCTTAGCCAATTGATGGTGAAACCCTCCAATTTCTGCTATATTCTTGTACAAGATGATTACAAGTGAAAACTCCAAATGCTTCTCCAAGAACTCTTAGCTAGAGAGAAACTAGTTACAAGAGGGAAAACTAGCTACGTAGGTGCCCCCTGGCTTCTTCCCTGTGTTTCTGCATAAAAAGTGGTAGAAAGTCTACTCCTCTCATTTCATCATTTCCTCCTCTCAGATTTTGTAAAAAGAAGTAAAAAATATGATGTTTCCTTTTGTTTACAACTCATTTGGTCTTTTCTTTTGTTGCAGAAGCATGTGCCACCGATTTCTGTTTCTCAAAATAGCTGGAAATGTTGTGAGAAAGGTAAAGGAAAACGGCTGTGCCACTTGCTGAAGAGAGAGACAGATCCGAGCCTCGGATCCGAGGGTTGAATATGGATTCGAACTCGGATCTTTAGGATCCGAGGCCTTTCTCTGATGGATCTGAGCTCGGATCGTTTGTATTCGGATATACTGCTCCAGAAGTACAGACGAGGGCTCGGATCTCTCCTTATTTTCACGGATCCGAGCTCGGATCCATGCTAGTATTTTCCAGTTTTTCACTTCTTTTTCTTTTTCTTCATTTTTGCTCCTAATTTCTTGTGTACTTTATCCTCTGGACAATCCTTACACTTCTTTCAGCTCGTGCATGAATTTCATACATCGATAACCTTCACAATTTCACAAAATTAACGCATTAATCCACTCATTTATCAAGTTTTGAACACTTCAACAATATTTAACCAATTATCACTAAAAAGAGTTCAAATATGAATTTAATCTTCTCAAAACATACCAAAAGTTCATGCCAAACTTGTATAAAATATACGTTAAATATTCACTTATCATAATTTGTCCATTTTCTCATATCTGACAAGCATACCTATGCTTAGTAAATGTTTGAATGTCTTCCCAAATACTTCACTATTCCATGCCTGTAAATTCTTGAGCCAGCAAAATGAATTCAACAATTCTCACTTCATCATAAATGATCAAGACAAAGCCAGTGTTACACTATTCTAACATAGGCAATATCAAAACTCAGAAGTCTGATCTTCACCCTGAGAGTGCGCCATTGCCCCTGTCAGCTTTTGGAAATTATGGATTATGTTAGAAAATTTCCTAAACTTCCAGCCTTACAATTTTTTCTCTTAAATTTGAAATTTCCCTTCTAATGGTATATTGTCCTCTTCCCTCTTGGCAAACTAAATATTGTAACTATTACTTGTAATGAAATTTGTTTAATCTATTTAGGAATTAGAAATATACAACTTGAATAAGAAAGAACTTAAAGGCTTTGAATATGTTACGTGTATATAATGTGCATTACTAATAAAATGTCAACATTTATCTATACTATATATAAAAGTATGTTGAATCAATGATTTATCGATGCGTATTTCTTACTTTTTTTATTTGCCTAATATGCCCTTACTTTTTGATTTGACTAATATGCCCTTAATACAATTTGTCTACATATTGATGTTTACAATTTGGCTACAATTTAAACTTTATTCAACGATCTTCTATTTAAATACTAATACTAACACTAATACAAACACAATCATGTCTTACAAACACTAATCATATCATACTCGAAAATTATTTTATTCTTCTAATTCTGGTATTTTCACGAAATAACCTTTTTCTATCAAGACATTGTTCCCTTGTTGGGTGGTCTTCTTGAGCTGGTAGTAAAGGGGTTGAATGATTTATCACCATTTATTGCATGATTTTTATATTTTCTTACTTACAATAGCATCCATTATTGATTTATCTATATCATAAGTTCAAGACATTAAAATTTAAAAAAAAAATTGTACACGTGCATTTTCCTAGTATAGACTAAGAAAGTTAAAGAGGGAGAAATATCCCAATCTGCCTTTTAAAAAAAAAAAAAAAAAAAATCATCCCTCTTATATTGCCAGCCCTTGAGCTAAATATTTTCAATTTCGTACTAGGTGTAGATTAGAAGATGCAAATCACAAAACTGCAAAAGTTTGGCTTTTGAATTTGCACCTTCCTTATTACAATCTAGCATCGCTTTGAGTTTATGGCTTTAAAATCAACCAATCAGTATTGGGTATTATAAATTGATGCCTTTCAGAGAGAATGATGCCCCCTTCATCTCTTATAGACGAGACGAAATCTCTGCCAGAAACGAATTAATCCATCCTTATGTTGAAGGCTCGAGTAATGGCAGTGAAATGGACCATTTTAATGGTCAATAAAGATGGAGAGCAAATTTTGTGCAATAAGCGTGATAAGAAGGAAATAAAGTTCAAATTCAAAATTCATTTATCCTGTAGATACAATTGTGCTTTTTAAACTTTTAATTAGCGTAAGAAGAGTTCTTGCATTTGGTCCCTAAAGATATAGAATAGAAAGTGAGCCCAATATTACTTGTTCTGGACAGATTATGAAATAGCCTTTTAAAGAATAACTTCTATTCATGTTTCATAATCATTTGCTTTTGCGGCACTTTCTTTTATGAAAAAGAGTTTGGAAGATCTTTTCTCACTCGATGAAATTCAAAACATAGGCAAAGAACTAAAATAAAAATGTTGTCCCAGAAAAACTACATAAGGAACTCTTTCAATTATATATAGCCCCAAATTTTTATAACACTACTCTTGTTTGATTTTGGGGTTTTGGACCACTTTCACTTTGCACCTCCAATCTTGTTAAGAACTAGTAGGTGGCATGTTGGACACACGCACAGAATGTG